TACTATTTGGGTTCCTAGGAGGTTGGTGTTTTTGTGTGTGTGCCAGTCTGCATGTGGAGGTCAGGGACAACCACTAGGAGTTGATTCTTCATCCTGTAGGTATCAGGCATTGAATTCCTGTTTACTTGCTGAACCATCTTGCTGGCCTGGAGATTGATCACTATATTGCCATGGCTGGTTGGAACTGGATATGTAGACTGCGCTGGCTCTAAACTCAAAGAGCTCTGCTTTCCTCTGCCTGACAAGTGCTGGAATTAAAGGTGTATGTTGCTATGCTTAACCAGATTGCTGATTTTTAGACTGTAGTTTAAAACACTATGAACACTAATCACAAAGTTTTATGTATTTATATTTGTTACTTGAAGACTTAAATTTTAACTTAATTTTTGAAGCTTTATTTATTTTGGCTTTTTGAAACAAGGTCTCATGTAACCTAGGCTATTCTCAAACTTGGTATGTACCTGAGGAGGACCTTGAACTTATTCTAAGCCTTTTAAATATTTGTAATAAATTAAAGTTTCAGCAGCCTTAGGTAAATACTGAGTTTTTCTTTGGATTGTAAATAAAAGTTTATCTTTCAAATCAGTTATCATGTGTGTATTTTTTTGATTCTTCTTCTTTTGGATTTTTGAGACAGGGTTTCTCTGTGTAGTTTTGGAGCCTATCCTGGAACTCGCTGTATAGATCAGGCTGGTCTCGAACTCACAGAGTTCTGCCTGCCTCTGCTTCCTGAGTGCTGGGATTAAAGGCATGCTCCACCACTGCCCGGTGTGCCACCTGGTTCATAATTATGTTTACAAGACACAGGTTAAGGCTGGATTGGTGGCACATGCCTGTAATCCCAGCAATAGATAACTAGGGAATCTGAGAGGATTGTGAATTCAAGACTGCTGACAAGAGGAAAAGATAAATACTAGCACCTTTTCCATCTAAGTATCCAATTAAATTATACTTTTAGTAGTTTTCCATTATTTCCTCATGAGTAACTTAAATAGTCCCCTGATCTTTTTTTTCTTTAATTTTTTTTTTTTTAATGTAGTAGGGTGGTGGTGGCAGCCTCCAAAGCCACAGAGAAACCCTGCCTTGAAAAAAAAAAATTTTTTTTTCTATGTATGAGTGTTTTTCCTAAATGCATGTATGTGCACTGCATGTATGCCTGGTGCCTGCAGAGGTCAGAAGAGGTGTCAGACCCCATGGAATTTGAGTTACAGATGATTGAAAGCCACCATAAGAATGCTGGGAGTCAGAGCAATAAGTACTCTTAACTGCCAAGCCAACTCTGCTGCCTACCCCGACCCCAAATTTATTATCATTTTATTTTATATATACGGTTATTATACTTGCAGACATCTCTGTACCAGGTGCACGTTTGTGCCCACAGAGGCCAGAAGAGGATATTGGATCCCCTGGAAAATGAGTTACAAATGATTATGGGCCACTATATGCATGCTTAAAATTAAACCTGAATCTTCTGGAAGAGCAGCCAGTGCTCTTAACTACTGAGCCATCTCTCCATGCTGCCCTCCAATACCCATGACCCCAAAAGGCAGTTTCTTGCTATGTAGTTGTGTGGCCTTGAACTCAAGATCTTTTTGCCTTAGCCACGAAAGTGTTGAGATTATAGGCCTGAAACCACTGTGCAGTGATGACAATAGGGCCTTTGAAGTTACATTCAAAGTAAGAAGATAATGGGATACTATTCATCTTTGCTTGGTAAAGTGGTATAAAGAGGCCAATGTGTTGTTTTATTCTTTTCTTGAGACAGGGTTTTTCTTTGTAGTCTTTATTGTCCTGTTACTGGATTTATAGACCAGGGTGGCCTCCAACTCACAGAGAGATCTACCTGCCTTTGCCTCTCGAGTGTTGGGATTAAAGGCACCACTACCACCTGGCATGTTGTTTTATTCTAATGGTATTTTGTTTCCATCTTGCAGAAATTATATATTAAGTGAGATAACTTCCAGTTTGGTGAAGAAATAGAGGTTGATTATCACTAAACCTAAAACTTGACGGTTTCTATTAAGTGTGATGCTAGAATAAAATTTTTGAGTTTAAAAAAATTAAAAGAATTTTAAAATTTACATTTATTGACGTATGCACCCTTGCTTGCTTGCTTGCATGCCATGGAACATGTGTGGAGCTCAGATGACAACTTGCAGGATAGTTCTCCCACCAAGTGGGTTTTGAAGATTGAATTCAGGTTTCAGGGGTTGGTGGCAGTGATTTTTACTTGATAAGCATCGGATACAGATGTGTATGCCATCAGAGGGTATCTGATCCTCTGACATTTTAGTTCCAGGTGGTGGTGAACTGCCTGACATGGATATTGAGAGCCAAACTCTTGTTACTCTGGAAGAACAGAAGTGTCTTAACCACTGAGCCATTCTCCAGCACCTATCCCTCCCCTTGAACTTTTTTTTTTTAATTGCATATTCAGCTAGTAAATTCTGCACCATTATTTTAAATTCTGAAAGATTCTGGTCTGAAATAGTTCTTGTTTTATTTTTTTTTTAAGATTTTTATTTATTATGTATACAACATTCTGCTTCCATGCATATCTGCACACCAGAAGAGGGCACCAGATTTCATAACAGATGGTTGTGAGCTACCATGTGGTTGCTGGGAATTGAACTCAGGACCTCTGGAAGAGCAGTCAGTGCTCTTAACCTCTGAGACATCTCTCCAGCCCCTGAAATAGTTCTTACTCCAAGTATTTTAGGTACAGAATACTGAACTTGTAATGAAAAATGTTAATGATATCCACATTTAAATCTTCAAGTTTGGGGAGTAATGAATACTGAGTTTATGATTATGTGGTTGTGAAGCTTTTGGCATTTTTAATTTGATTTTATTATTTTATGCGCTGGGTGTCTGCATGTGTGAGCATCATAAGCATGCAGTGCCTTCAGTGGTTGAGCTAGTTAGTACTTTGGATCACCTGGAATTGGAGCTGCCTTGTGGGTGCTGGGAATTGAACCCTGGACCTTGTGAGGAACAGTCAGGGCTCTTAACTGCCAAGCCATGTCTAGCTCTATAGGTTGAGACCCTATTGGGGTCACATACCAGATATCCTGCATATCATACATTATTTATTTATTTGTTTATTTTTGGTTTTTCCTAGACAGGGTTTCTCTGTGTAGCTTTGGAGCCTATCCTGGAGAACTCAAGAGAGATCCGCCTGCCTCTGCCTCCCGAGTGCTGGGATTAAAGGCGTGTGCCACCAATGCCCGGCTTACATTTAAGATTTATAACAGTTGCAAAATTGTAGTTTTGAAGTAGTAAGGAAACAATTTTATGAAGGACACTACAACAAGAGGAACTGTATTAAAGGGTCTTTGCATTAGGAGGGTTGAGAACCACTGTTGTAGCTCTTTCAAATTGGAAGCTTTAATTAATGATGTTTGTGGAATAGTATGAATCGACAAACATTGTTTTAGATTGCTGTCCCTCTCTTTCTCCCATTTTGGGAACAATAAGAGAAATTTTACTTTATTATGTAGTCAAAGAAGAAGTTTTAGGGCTGGGGAGATGGCTCACCTGTGGATAAGGCAATTTGCTGTTAAACCTGATGACTTGATTCCCCCACCCCTTGACAGGGTTTCTCTGTGGCTTTGGAGGCTGTCCTGGAACTAGCTCTTGTGGACCAGGCTGGGCTCAAACTCAGAGAGATCCGCCTGCCTCTGTCTCCCGAGTGCTGGGACTAAAGGTGTGCCACACCACCACCCAGCCTGATGACTTGATTTTGATTCATGTAACCAACATAGTAGGATGAGAGAACAAATTCCTGCAAGTTGTTTTCTAACAACTAAAACACTCAAACAAAATAAATGCGAAATAAAACTCAAAAACTCAGCCTGGCATGCTTGTGTATACCTTTAATCTCAGGGGCAGAGGCATGTGGATCTCCTTTTTTGTCAGTTCCAGGCCAGCCTGGTCTACAAAGCAGGTTCCAGGACAGCCAGGAATGTTACACAGAGAAACCCTGTCTTGCTCTAAACAACAACAACAACAAAAATACAACAAATGGAAAACATAAGTGTATGTGCATTCAGTACACATAACCTGCCAGTTTATTGGATATATATTGTATTTGTTATTGACCTTCATGATCATATGGCTTGATAGAAGCTATGATTTCCTGCCCAGCGTTACAGGTGTTTCTTAGAGCATATCTATAGTCTGGGAAAAGAGAGTGTATGGAATGATCTCAGGTTATCTCTGTACTTCTATAGCTTTTCAACACTGTAGTGCTACATACCTCACAGGAATCATGATTTGCTCTAAATAGGACAGTTCATAAGCAGCAGGAGTAAGAATAGAATTAAATTGTTCTTGTTTTTTTTTTTTTTTTTTTGAGTATTTCATTTGGTTGGAGAGATGGCTCAGTGGCCTAGTACTCTTGCAGATGACTTTCGTTCAGTTCCTAACACCCACAAGGTAGCCCCTAACCACCTGTAACTCTGGTTCCAGGGGACCCCTCTGGCATGTGATACACATGTACTCACACAGCGTCAACACATACACATAAATGAAAATTCCAATAAATCCTAAAAATACTTTTATTAGCTAAGCCTTTATTTATTTTGAGATAAGATCTCACTGTGTAGCTCTGGCTAGCCTGGAATGTAAAGATGCCCTTTCTTTTTCCCCTCAAAAGGGGAAAAAGGTAAAGCAAAAAAAGGTAAAGCAAAAGAAAAACAAGAAAGCAGGTTGAGGGAGCCATGAGGAACAAGCCAGTAAGCTGCATTTCTCTATGACTTGCTTCATTTTCTGCTGTTTTCCCTATGACTATGGACTGTAACCTTTAAGTTAAATAAACATTTTCCTCTTCAAGTTACTTTTGGTCATGGTCTTTATCACAGAAAAAGTAACTACTACAGTCGGTATCAAAGATTTTATTTCAGTAATGAAAGCAAAAGAATTAATGTTTGCATTTGTGTGTCTAAGTTTTATTTTTGAAGCATTGTCTTTAATATTGGTTTAACATTTATTCATACTTTTATGCTTCTTTTTCAGTATCAGATATAGAAGGTGGTGATGGACTGCAGCTCAGAAAGGAACATACTCTCAAAATATTTGCTTATATCAATTCCTGGACTCAGAGGTATGCAGTTGTAGATATTTTGAAGACTAACTTGGTGAATTGTATAAATTGCCATTACTTGTCATTAGATTTTCTTTTAGAATGTTTTATTACATTTTTTAAAACAATTAAATGGTAGTTATCAGTATTCAATCATTTTACCTTTTCTTTAATCATGGGCTTGATTATGACATTGTTTTTAAAAATAACATAGAAATTGATTTTTTTCTTTTACCTTTCCCTCATTCTTTAGGAATGAGTGGCTAAAATTTTGAAATATATTATTTTGAGATATCTCTAAATATCCATATTAATATCTCAGTTATTTTGACAGATAATTTTGTTGTTGTTTTTTTTGAGACAGGGTTTCACTGTGTAGCTTAACTGTCCTGGAACTCACTCTGTAGACCAGGCTGATCTCCAACTCAGAGATCCACCTGCCTCTGCCTCCAGAGTGCTGAGAGTAAAGACGTGCACCACCACCATATCCCATGGATAAGACAATTTTATGGAAAGTTAAAGAAAGCTTATAGCAAGCTTAATATCTTTAAAACTATCTTCATTAAGCCCTGTGGTGGTGGTATATGGAGAGGCAGAGGCAGGTATATCTCTGTGAGTTTGTGGTAGCCTTGTCTCAGAAAAAAACCGACAACCGCCGGGCATTACACACCTTTAATCCTAGCACTCAGGAGGCAGAGGCAGGCAGATCTCTGTGAGTTCGAGGCCAGCCTGGTCTCCAGAGCGAGTGCCAGGACAGCCTCCAAAGCTACACAGAGAAACCCTGTCTGGAAAAACCAAAACCAAACAAACAAAAAAACTATCTTCATTGTGGTAAAAGGTATTTTGAAGCCATTTGCTGCTTGTCTCTTCTTATGCACATTATACCAACTTTTATATAATACATAAGTTGAGAATATGCAGAACAAAACTCCAAGGATCATAGTTATCAATAAAATCAATATGAAAGACTACATTTCTGTCTGTTTATGAATTTCATTGGTGGTGACAGTCTTTTTTACAGTGCTGAAGTTCAGACCCATCTTCTACCGCTGAACTATATCCCTAGCTCTCTAGTAATTTTTATGATTTAGAAAAACGTTTAAAGTGGGGCAAAGAGCTGGTTCAGGGGTAAAGACTCCTGCCTCAAAGCCTGATAACCAAGGCCCAAGCCAGGGATGTTGATATGGTAAAGGAGGAGAAAACTGTCTCCCATAAGTTGTTCTCTTACTTCTACATGTATAACACCAATACATAAATGCACATGTGTGCAGGAACACACACACTATAACCTTTTTTTTTTTTTTTTTTTTTTTCTCAAGATGGTGTTACTCTGTAGCTCTGGTTGTCCTGGAACTCACTATATAGACCTACTGGCCTTGAACTCACAGAAATCTGCCTGCCTCTGTCTCCCAAGTGCTGGGATTAAAAGTGTATGCCACCACACTGGGCAAGAAATAGAAAATTTTTAAGAAAAATACTTCAAGCATTATTTTTAGTGATCAGTGAACATATTACATGTTTTAACATGAAAGTGTATAGTATGGCTGACAATAAAAAGTTTAAGCTGGGCAGTGATGGCACATGCCTTTAATACCAGCACTGAGGAGGCCGAAGCAGGCAGATCTATGGTCTACCAGCCTGGTCTACACGTTGATTTCCAGGAAGACCAGAGCTACACAGAGAATACCTGTCTGGCAAAAAAAAAAAAAAAAAGATAAAAAATATTTAGTTTCGGGCTGGAGAGATGCCTCAGAGGTTAAGAGCACTGACTGCTTTTCCAGAAGTCCTGAGTTCAATTCCCAGCAACCACATGGTGGCTCACAACCATCTGTAATGTGATCTGGTGCCCTCTTCTGGTGTGCAAGCATGCATGCAGATAATTGTATACATAATAAATAAAATCTTAAAAAAAAATTTAGTTTCAAATCTTTGCTATTCTGCAGTTCCCCTCCCCCCCCAAAAAATAAAAGTTGTGTTGGAGGCTTGGTGTGGTGGTACCTGCCTTTAATTTCAGCAGGGTGGAGTCAGAAGCAGGGGGATCATCTGCCTGGCCTACTTAGTTCCAGAACAGCCAGGGTTGTATAGATCCTTGTCTCAAAAAACGAACAAAAAAAGAAAAAAATTAGAAATAATGTGTTGGGGGCTAGGGCTAGAGAGATGGCTCAGTGGTTAAGAGTACTTTTTTGCTCTTGCAGAGAACTCCAGTTTGGTTGTCTGCACCCACATAGTAGTAGTTCACAGCCCTGTATAACTCCAGTTCCAGGGGATCCAGTGCCTTTTCTGATCTCTGAAGGCTTCTGCGTACATGTGGTACATATACACAGACTCACACACAACATAAAGAAATCATTTGTTGAGTTGAACATACTTTTAATTCTAGGTCATAGGAGACATAGACAGGCAGCTCTCTGTGAGTTCCAGTCCAGCCAGAGCTACATGGTGAGACCCTGCCTTAAAAATGGGGGCACAGGGTGGGGGGTATATTAGTATTTAAAATATTTCTTTCTGGAAGTTAGCTCATATTAAAATAAAATTTCAGATCCAAGGTCAATAGACTGAGAGCCTTTGATGGAGTCATCTTGGCCCATGCCTGTAATCTCAGTACTTGGAAGGCAAGAGGCAGGAGGTTCCCAAGTTCCTGACTAGTCTTGGCTATGTAGTTAGTTTCAACAAACTGTGTGCAATGAAAACCTATTACATCAAGTTGATGTAGCTCTGGCTGTCCTTGAACTCACAGAGATCTGCCTGTCTCTTTCTGGGATGGAATGTGTGTGCGCTAACACACCTGGCTAGTATTTGTTTCTGATAACCTTCCATATGATAAGAACTCTCAAACAATTGGAATTAACTTTTTAATAGAGTATCTATCTGTTGAAACTGACATTGATCACATTTAAAATCAACATCATTAGCTGGGCGTTGGTGGCACACGCTTTTAATCCCAACACTCGGGAGGCAGAGGCAGGCGGATCTCTGTGAGTTCGAGGCCAGGATAGGCTCCAAAGAAAAACCCTTTCTCGAAAAACCAAAAAAAAAAAAAAAAACACAACAACAACAACAAAAAACCATCATTGAAAAAGTGCTAGGTTTGCCTATGAGTAATGAGATGCTGAGAACTGGAAGAACCCCTCAACAAAGGTTTAGTAAGTAATCCAAGTCCTTTGAGCACTGCTAAACTACTAGTCTGAGAACCAGTTTTTGGCTGACGTAGCCTACCCATGGTGTTTGCTGTGGCATTAGAACATTCGGTGGGTTTTGTTTTGCTCTAAGAAGTTGTGGGAGTGGGGAGGGGATGACTCAGCAGTGACTTACAACCAACCATCTGTAGTGAGATCTGGTGCCCTCTTCTGGCCTGAAGGCACACATGCAAGCAGAATATTGTATACATAATAGATAAATCTTAAAAAAGAAGTAAGCAGATGGGCTTGAGAGGTGGCACAGGCTCAGGTTAAGAGCACTAGGTGCTATTCAATTCCAGGTTCAATTCCCAGCACCCACATGGCTGCTCACAACTGTCTGTAACTCCAGTTCCAGGGGATCTGGCACCCTTACACAGACATACATGTAGGCAAAACACCAATGGGCATAAAAATAAATATTAAAAAGAAGTAGGCGGCTTGTAAGAAAGGATTACTAGTTTGAGATGTTATGGAAATTTTTTCACATGTTGAATACTATGTTGTAATAGGTTTTAAAATAGTTTTTTTTTACATTTTTGTGTGTGAACATTTTGCCTGCATGCATGTATATGTACCATGTTTGATGTCCTAGGAAGTCAGAAGAGAGTTTTGAATCTGCTGGAACTGAAGGTATTGATGGTTGTGAGTTTCTATGTGGGTTCTGGACCCTCTGTAAGAACAGCCAGTGCTCTTAACTACTGAGCCATCTCTCTCTTCAGTCTTGTAGTAGTTACTTAATGCTTTCAATAGTATCAGAGTAGGGAAAGTGATAGTAGATGCATGTCAAATGAAATTCTAGAAGCCACCCTAAGAAGTTATTTTACTTATGGTTCTTATTTATTTATTTACTACTAACATTAATTGGAGCTACATGTTTCATGCTATCATTGCATTTAAAAAGCTTATTAGCATGTATGTATGTATGATGTGTTTGTGAAGAGTGTACAAGTTTTGTAGTCTTTTCCTTCTACTGTGTTCAGGGATTGAACTCAGGTTGTTAGTCTTGCATAGCAAGTGCTTTTACCCACCAAGCCATCTCACCAGCCCTCATTAGGTGTATTTAAATATAAATTTAAATTGAGATGAGAAGCATATCATTTTACTTGGGTAATAAATTCATAATCAGGCTGGAAATAATAGCTATAGAATAGAGAAAAAGGTAGGATTGTCAGATGGTAGGAAGGTATGTGTGATACAGAAGAATAGGTAAATACAAGAAATCTATATAGGTTTTAAAAGTCACTGATGCAGATGTGGTAGCACATTTATATCATCAGAGGTAGGTAGATATCTGAGTTTGAAGCCAGATTGGTCAGTGGAGCACATTCCAGGCTCTATCCCAAAATTTAATTGAAAGAGAGTATATAGTATTTTTAAAGTACCCTTCTCAATCTTGTTTGTATTTTCAAATAATGGTTTAATAGTCTGCCTTTTGAAATTGTTTTATCTTGCAGCTCTTACTTCATCTATTAATTTTAGATATAACTGTGATCTTCCTTTTATGATATATAGGATTTTACTTTATCATATCCATTCAATATAATTGCTGTCAATTCTTAGCATACTTGTAAAAGTAAAAATACTGTTCAGAGATGTGCCAACATGTTAAGTAATTCATTTCATATCTTCTACATATTTTGTTTCCTGGAGTCTCTACTGATACGTTTTTCCTTTGAGTAATTTTCTATATATGTATTACAAATGCTTCCTAAATGTTTAAACCTTTTTAATAGTGACCTATTATTTTGTATTTTTTTGTCCAATCTTATCCTCCTTTAACCTTCAGTTTCTTCTTGTACTGTTTGTTCTTAGACTAGATTCTGCTCAGGATTCATCCTTAGC